ATTTGAATATGAAATACTGGTACCCGGTTCATGATGTTACATGCTCAAAAATAAATGCACAAATTAGAGTTGTTTATTTTCCTCCATAACCTCCAGGAACACAGACGGAATGTAACGGATGTGAGAAACCTCCTACCTACTTCATCCAGAAACCTACACCACAGAAAGTGTATATACAAAAGCCGGACTCGACGGAGAACGGAATTCCGATATATGTAGACAGACCACGCCCACAAAAACAAACAGTATATATACAAAAACCGGACAGGACAGAGAACGGGATACCGATATATGTAGACAGGCCACGCCAACCACAGAAACAAACCATGGTTTTCACTCAAACACAGAAATGTCATAACAGTCACACGTGTGGATCAGGTAAGGAAAAACACAAAGTGTCGTGCAGCTCAGGTCACTACGTTTCACGTGAGGACTGACACGGAAGTGTCATTACAGTAATATTTGTGGGTTAGGTCATTCATACCATGTTAGGACGAAGTCAATTATCTTTAAAATTCCATTTTTTCCCAATTTCTTGACTGAAGCTACATGATGCTATTTCATATTTTTATTCATATCAAAGCCATCATTTCGTTGTTTGTTCTTGATAATCTCTTTCCATTCATTGAGATAAGTATTATAGCAACAGATGTGACATTTTCCTACAAGAAGACAAAAAGTAGGTTTTTTTTAATTTCTGACTTTAAAATCCCTTTTATATGATTTTATCAAGAGAATTCATGTCTGTCCTTAAAGCTCTTAGAATATGATACATGTCTTTTTTTCTGGTGAGACTAATTAAATGATATTGCTTTTGTGGATCTTATCAAGGGCGGTTATTTTATACACGGGCTGTCTCAAATCTATTCATATAATGCTGTATTGTTATTTATTCATTTTCAGGTTCTTCTAGCAATAGTTCAGGTGGTGTTATCATGAATGTACTGACGGGTGGATCTGGTTATATCAGTGGCGGATCAAGGTTCAGTTCTGTTGGAGGTGGTGGATCCAGGGGAGGCGGTGGTGGGACTCCTTACGGAATCAGTGGCGGATCAACTGTTTACAGCAACGGGCGCGTGATTGGAATGAGTGGCAGCGGGAGTGGTAAGATCCAGAAGGTTTTGACCGACCGAATGAAATCAAATAAAAACATACAAATGGACCTTGTGTCTACATTAATAATTAAAGAATATATTACACTGAATCCATGTCTTTGATTTCTTCTCTTTACATTTAATAAAAACCTATGTCTACATCATAAATGATAAACAAAGATTTTATTACATTGAATGCATATCTTTGATTTTTTTTTTGCTTTACATAACAGCGTTCTGTACTCTCTCTTTTTTGGTTTATTTTGTTTTACATTGTAGCGTGTTGTCCTCTTTGTTTTATGTGTTTTACATTGTAGCGTGTTGTCCTCTTTGTTTGTTTTATTTTGTTTTACATTGTAGCGTATTGTCCTCTTTATTTGTTTTACTTTGTTTTACATTGTAGCATACTGCCCTCCAATGAGACATGACTGTCATCCATCTTGTATCAAGTATGACGATCCCCACTGTAGGCGGTGTTTATGTTAAAGGTAATCACGTGTGTAGACGGTGTTTACGTTAAAGGTAATCACGTGTGTAGGTGGTGTTTATGTTAAAGGTAATCACGTGTATAGGCGGTGTTTATGTTAAAGGTAATCACGTGTGTAGACAGTGTTTATGTTAAGAGTAATCACGTGTGTAGGTGGTGTTTATGTTAAAGGTAATCACGTGTGTAGGTGGTGTTTACGTTAAAGGTAATCACGTGTGTAGGTGGTGTTTATAATAGAGGTAATCACTTGTGTAGGCGGTGTTTATGTTCAAGGTAATCATGTGTGTAGACAGTCTTTATGTTAAGAGTAATCACGTGTGTAGGTGGTGTTTATGTTAAAGGTAATCACGTGTGTAGGTGGTGTTTATGTTAAAGGTAATCACTTGTGTAGGCGGTGTTTATGTTAAAGGTAATCACGTGTGTAGACAGTCTTTATGTTAAGAGTAATCACGTGTGTAGGTGGTGTTTATGTTAAAGGTAATCACGTGTGTAGGTGGTGTTTATGTTAAAGGTAATCACGTGTGTAGGTGGTGTTTATGTTAAAGGTAATCACGTGTGTAGGTGGTGTTTATGTTAAAGGTAATCACGTGTGTAGGCGGTGTTTATGTTAGAGGTAATCACGTGTGTCGGTGGTGTTTATGTTAAGAGTAATCACGTGTGTAGGTGGTGTCTATGCTAAAAGTAATCATGTGTTTATGTTAAAGGTAATAAGGTTTGTAGACGGTGCTTATCGTAAAGGCGAATTTTATGTTAGAGGTAATCACGTGTGTAGGTGGTGTTTATGGTAGAGGTAATCACTTGTGTAGGCGGTGTTTATGTTTAAGGTAATCACGTGTATAGGCGGTGTTTATGTTAAAGGTTTACACGTGTGTAGGCGGTGTTTATGTTAAAGGTAATCACATGTGTAGGCGAAGTTTATGTGTGTAGGCGGTGTTTATGTTTAAGGTAATCACATGTGTAAGCGGTATTTGTTCGCTCCCTCTCCTGATGCAGGGTGAATTATTTATCAGTAGGAAGGCTGGAAATCTGACAGACAGTCGCCTAAAATAATCCTCTGACATACAATCGCCTATAAGTAACATATAAGTAATCTAAAAGTAATCTTAAGTCAATGTTTCGATTGGAAACAATAATATTCAGATAGAGACATTATTGCGAGTGCTTAAATCTGTTAGAGGAAAAACCATCTTGCAAAACTTATTAAGAAGTTTTTATATAAATGTATTTTGAATCTAAAATTCGTGCTATATTGATATTGGTAGCGTTAAATATCTCCATTACTTTGAATATCGAAAAATATAACCAATGGCTCGACAATTGAATATCGATGTTCTGGATTGTTAGATTGTTACTTCACTTCCTGTCAAGACATCAGAATAACTTCTCTGTCATGGAATTTCTTTACATTTAATTCATTTTATAGCTTATAGAATGAAATTTTGTATTCCTTTATTTGAAAGTTCAAATGAATTAATTTCATCAGAACTAAGATGTACCAATGAGTCATGTTCACAATGAAAGTATATATATGTAATTATTCTCAGCTTTCATTGTGTGATATCTTTTACAACTTGTATAAACTGATATCTCGAAAAAAAAAAAACTCCTGCCATAAGAAAAGGCCCTTGATAGATTCCTAGGTAAGCTACATCAAAAATATGACCTTTTTGCATCTTACCGGATGTTTTAAATTTAAATAAAAAAAAACATTTTGTCAGCCAATGAAGGTCAACTAACAAAATTATTTTATTACAAACCATATAAATTTTGCTTTTCAATTTTCAAAATTCTTGCGACATTTATTTAATGAGTAAGGTGTTTCTGTGAAATCAATAAAAGACCCAGATCCCGGGGATGAAAATCTGTAAAATCATTTACTAAGCAGAGTTCAGGTCGAACTTATATAAATTTTACCAAAATAAACCCACTGTCTGAATCTATACTTTTAAAATCTGATATTGTGGGGTCTTTTTTGTCCCTCTGTAAGACAATATCAAAATCTATGTTTTTTGTCTGTCTGTCTGTCTGTCTGTAAGACAATATCAAAATCTATGTACGACAAGGAAGATCACCATACAGGATGTTTTATTTTGTTTCATTTCAGTTATAGTTTATGATATATATGCAAGTACAATTTTTATATCAAAAATCAAATTCTTTGTTGAGAGAATTATGTTATAATTGTCCAATAAAAAATACTATAACTATATAAAGAAAATAAATCATTAAAAGACCCCATGAAAATCAAAACAATAAAAAGAATGAAATAAATAAGAGTTGTTCTAGTATATATATCATATCAAAGTAAAACAAAATATTCATTTGACAAACAACACACATTCCACTTTCAATCTAAATATAGAACAAGTTCTTAAGATGTTAATGGATTCCACGATATTTGTTACAACAAATTGTGAATTTACAGTTAATCCATTTTAACCATATTATTTACAAGAAAAAAATTTAAGCATTATCAAACTTAATAAAAAATTGTACAGAGTGATAATGCAAGTCTCTTTGCATTATTTATTTAATTTTAGAAAAGAACTAAACCAATTAATGTAATTTATTAAAATTCATCTTGACAGTAAATAAATGTACATGAACTATGAAAAGATAGATATGATATACAATGACAGACCTGAAAGTAAAACAACATGAAAAATTGACATGAAAAATTACCAAGATTCTGGATTATCTTGCTTCTATCATCAATTATGCATCTAATTAAGCTTGTGATTTCAGGGGTCCATGTTCTTGATCCTGATGTGTTTTGTATATTGCATTGAAAAAGTTGATTCACTTTTCGCTATTTTCGTCTCTTAAAAATGAATATTTTTTTCTTATACATGCATGGGGAGAGTAGAAAATCAACTTACATATTTACCATGTTAAGCAAATAAGATCTCCACGAAAGATTCGCAACATTTGATTCCTAAATTATTGATATCTACAATATACACATTATGTTTTTTTTTCTGTTTACAGAATGCATGAGGAGAGAAAAGGATCCATATACAATGTGACTGAAATATTCCTAAACCTTTTTTATCTGTTTAATTTTGGGGATACGCGTTCTTGAAAAATGTCTCTCGGTATTTCTTTCATAAACATTAGCAAAAGATGCAAATTAAGTTTTCTGAGACTTCTTTGTACCATTGAATCATAGCTGTCTTCATGCCATGGCGTAATTTATGTAATGTATTTAAAATTATTTACCTTGATCATCATTGACGTTTATAAAGTATGAGTGTTGTTTTTAATAATACGAACAAACTTCATGTATATCATTCAGACAAACAATTTATAATTTCAACACCATTTCACAAAGAATTGAAGTTTGCCCCCTGGTAAATTAAAAAAGTTTTATATTCATTTTTTGCAAGCTGATTGCTATTCTGTTCATCCATAGTTATCCCTTATCGACAATAAATCTGAAAATGATCCATCAAATATTCACACTTCTCAATTTTACCAGAACGACGGCATTGATGTAAAATTGTTTCACAATCATCCAGTAGTGTATAAATATCCATCTTTTTCTCAATCAATAGTTTTACTATTTGAACATTGCCTCCCCAGGCTGCATAGTGCAACACTGTCTTACCACAACTGTCCCCTAGATCTAATAAATGGGGACAGATCTCAACTAAAAACTCACAAACTTCAAACTTCTCACTGAGACAAGCTATAAGCAGAATATTTTTTCCATCACTTGACACGGCATTTAAGTCCAATCCATTTTCTATCAGAAAATTCACGATTTCAACACTTCCTCCCCTACAAGCTGAATGTAATACTGTCAACCCTTCAGTGTCCTTTATCACCAATAAATCTGGAAAATGATTGACCAAATGCTCACACATCTCCATTTCACCAGAACGACAGCACTGATGTAAAATTGTTTCACCATCTCCCTGTAAGGCATTGATGTCCATCTTTTTCTCAATCAACAGTTTTACTATTTGAACATTGCCTCCCCAGGCTGCGTCATGCAATACTGAGTTACTAGATTTATCTTTGAAGTCTAATAGATGGGGATAATTCTCAACTAAGTACACACAAATTTTAAACTTCCCATTGAGACAAGCTATATGCAAGATAGTTTTACCATCATTTGACAAAGCATTGAAATCCATCCCTTTTTCAATAAGAAAAGAAACAATTTCAACACTTCCTCCATTACAAGCTGAATGTATGGCTGTCCATCCCTTAGCGTCCATTATTTCCAATAAATCTGGAATATGATTGACCAAATGTTCACACATCTCCAATTTACCAGAACGACAGCACAGATGTAAATTTGTTTCACCCCCTCCCTGTACAGAATAAATGTCCATCTTTTTCTTGATCAATAGTTTTACTATTTGAATATTGCCTCCCCGGGCTGCGTCATGCAACACTGTATTACTAGATTTGTCCCTGACGTCTAATAGATGGGGATAATTCTCAACTAAGTACTCACAAACTTCAAACTTCCCATAGAAGCAGGCTTTATGAAGAATACTTTCACCATCATTTGACAAGGTATTAATGACCATTCCCTTTTCTTTAAGAAAAGAAACAATTTCAACACTTCCACCATGGCAAGCTGAATGTAACACAGTCCACCCCTCACTGTCCTTCATCTTCAATAAACTTGAGAAATGTTTGACCAAATACTGGCACATCTCCATTTTACCCGAGCGACAACATTGATGTAAAATTGTTTCACCACCTCCCTGTACAGAATAGATGTCCATCTTTTTCTCAATCAATAGTTTTACTATTTGAACATTGCCTCCCCAAGCTGCAGCATGTAACACTGAGTTATTAGATTTGTCATTGACGTCTAATAGATGGGGATAATTCTCAACTAAGTATTCACAAACTTCAAACTTTCCATTGAGACAAGATCTATGAAGGATATTTTTTCCGTCATTTGACAAGACATAAGATTCCAATCCTTTTTTTATCAGGAAAGAAACGATCTCTAAATTTCCTCCCCTGCAAGCTGAATGTAACACTGTCCATCCGTCATTGTCCATTATTTCCAATAAATCTGGAAAATGATTGACCAAATACTCACACATCTCCATTTTACCAGAACGACAGCATTCATGTAGAATTGTATTACCAAGTTTCTGTACAGAATAGATGTCCAACTTTTTCTCAGTCAATAGTTTTACTATTTGAACATTGCCTCCCCAACCTGCATCATGCAACACTGTGTTGCTAGATTTGTCCCTGACATCTAACAGATCGGGATAATTCTTAATCAAGTATTCACAAACTTCAACCATGCCATTAAGACAGGCTCTATGCAGAATACTTTTACCATCATATGACAAAGTATTAATGTTCATTCCAATTTTTATAAGATAAGAAACAATATCTAAACTTCCTACCTGACATGCAGCTTCAAGGACTGATTCACCTGAATTATCTTTTACATTTAGGCTACATTTTATGCTAGAAGATTTGAACTGTTCAATCTCATAAAAAATTTGTATGTATTGAAACATTTCAATACGTCCACTGACAGCTGCCCAATGGAGAAGAGATTTTCCTTGAAAATCTGTATGGAAAGCAGTTAAGTCAGGAAATGTTTCAATAAGATATTTGACCATTTCTAGTTTTCCATTCTGACAAGCATACGTTAGAACCGTGTGACCATTGATTTTATCCTTTTCATATGGATCGAAGCCAAAATTAAGCATCAAATTGAATGCATCCTTGTCTCCAGAACTTGCTGCTGACTGCAATGCATTAGGACATTTCGTTTTACTTGAATTTCCCAGAGATGGATATTTTTTCAATATTCTTTTGATAAATTTTGTTTATCGCTTTGAATAAATTTCTTGGATTAAGCTGTGTCTGACACAACGTCCTATGGGATGTAAAGAGGACATAACTTGATTAAGGCCTACAAACTCACAAATTTGTAAAAATAACTCTAACTTACCACTTTGTACGGAGTATAGGCATGTTGTAATATCACATTTTACTCCAGAATGTAAAATGAGATTAACAATTTCGATGTGGTTCCTAGAACAAGCAGCGTTGACAGATCGGTATCTCTGTCCTTTGTCTGAACTTGGTAGTAGATATTCTACCCATTTCTTATTTCCAACTTTAGAAAAATGTACCATAATTGAATCGTCATTAATGTCGCGACATGTCTTCAATTTTGAAACACATTTTTTTCTGCGTAAAATGAATTCATGAAATTTGGAATCAGTCCATAACTCTAACAAAGATAAAGAAGCATATCCAGTTACGGACCTTTCAGAACTTATTTTTGCAATGCGAAGGGCAACTACATCAAATAAATTTTGTTCGATGAGAATAAGCGTGTCGTTTGACGTTTTGCATGTTGTTAGTGTCTGAAGTAAGGAGGGATGACAATTTTGTATCATTTTTTCAGGTTCAAAAGAAAACATGACATAAAATAAAGATTCTTGCACCGAACTATGGGAAAACGTAATGCAATCTTTGATTTTATCTCTAATTGTTAGAAATTGGTCAAAGCAGTTGATGTTGTCTTGAAAATCATGAATAAAAGAGACATTTAGACCTACAAATTCCAATGATGCGCGTTTTATCTCCAAGTCGTTGTAAGCATCGTCAATCAATTTGAATGGCACTCTCCCTCCGCTGAGGAGAAGATAGGCGAGGACAGCAGATTTTGTAGTTTGAGTTTTTATAAGATTTTTTAAGTATTCTCTCAAAAACATCTTAGGATCTTGTAGAAAATCTTATATATTTTGTTTGATGGCACTATTGCTTTTGGATAATTCACAACATTGTGGAAATCCTATCCAAATAGGCATCTTATAGACCTTGCTGATAAGATCCTTTTGTTCTATGGTTTTCGTTAAATCATATTTATCAGCTAACTGGAGGATTTCTGCCTCTTGCAAAGCATATGTTTTATCTGATAGATCAACCATTGATGACACAAAAAAGGTATCATTGTTTACTTTACCTACATATCCATTGTACATATCATTTTTAGTTGTAAATATCAAATTGTTAGACTTGCAATCTTTGACATTTTCAATTAAACCTATAACCATTTCACCTGTTGCTGACAAGTCTTGAACATCAATGCTGGAAAAAGAAAATTCTCCAAACACATTATCAATTAATACTACTGTACCATCACCGGGTGATATACTTTCATACAGTTCTGTGAACTTTTGAAGTTGAAGAGCTGATTTTCCTTCCTCCATCAACTCCTTCATTAACATCTTGGCGATTGTGGTTTTTCCAGTTCCTGAGTTACCCTTGATAAGGATGTACCTGTTAGCGTCTAACAGTTGCTTTGCCTTGTAAAACCCAAGAGTTTTTACAAAAAAAGGTTTCATATTTTCGTTATGTTTTGTTATCATTTTTTGGGTATTTTCTGAAAAAAAAAATAGCAGATGTCTTCATATAATGAAAAAAAGAGAAGTTAATATGTTTTGATTTCAAAGTTTCTACTGGATACCAGCTTTATCATTGGTACCCAAAACAGTAGCTTAAAGACTGAAAAAAGTTATTTTTCTATTTTTTCTCTCTAACTTTCGTCAATTATTTTTTTATTCTTAACAAGGAGGATTTTTGGCAATTGCAATTTAAAGAAAAAATTGACCGGAAAAATTAATTTCCTTTAAATTCAAAAGTGAATTTATAAATATAGACACATTAGAAGAAGGTATGCGCATGCTCGACATGTAGACGTAAGTTTTTATCGAGAGCAAAGTGTAGTCCAAAAACCTCGAATTTAATTAATTTCAGATCTTAAAAAATGCATTGCTGATATTCAAAGATGTTTTAAAGTGTGTTGAAGTATGTTTTAACCAAAAAAATGCAATAGAAGAGAGGAACGAGAAGGTAAACAAAATTTGTAAACATATCTGTTTGTGAACACTAGTGAGCGATACTCATACGTTCCACTGTTACACTGTGAAATATGGCTAGTCAATTGACCCAGTCTAAAAAGAGAGCGCTCGATGATATGGACACTAACACATTTAACACCAGTACTAGTGATGAAGAAACTTCAAAAGAATGTGAAAATTTTCAGATGAGAGATGTCATGCACGGTATAACTAACATACAAAATACTCTTGCAAACCTTCTACTAAGGATTGATGGACAAGGTCGCCATCTAGACGAAGTCACCAAGGACATTAGAGGAAAACATGGTATTCAGGAGAGATTAGAAAACGTACAAGAACAGGCGAACGATACGATATATATAACCACTGAACTGCAGGAAAAACAGAAGAAGATGGAAAGAGAACTTAGCCGAATGAAAGATTACATAGTTCGACTGGAGTATTGTGTAAAGACTCAAAGTGAACAGATTCTAGAGCTAAGATCAAGAGCAATTGAGGACAATATCATTGTGAGTGGAGTAGACGAAAAGGCGCCCGAAATAAAAAATCCTGAAAACCTTGTGAAGATCATTAGTAACGTGTTCGCAGTAGAGATGGAGATACCGGCAGAGACTGTTGATAGCCTACAGATATATAAAGTGTTCCGAATGGGGGAATACGACAAACATAGGAAATATCCCCGGCCAGTCTGTGTCCAGTTTGTAAATAAATCACATAAGGACATTGTGATGAGGCACATCAAAGTTCTCAAGGATAAGAAGTCCCCAATAAGAGTGTCTCAACACCAACCTGAAGAAGTCCGTGAAAAAAGGAAGCATTTATATGATGTCCAAAAGAAATATGCGGAACGTGACATAGAAACGGTGCTAAAAGGTCAGAAGCTCATTTTCACGCAAAGCAAAACGGTGTATAGGGAAAAAATTGGTAGCAGACCAATGGCCGATGAGATCATCAGTGGAGAAGAGGTAAAGATCGCGATCAGTACGGGGAAGACAACAGAAGACAATGGAAACCGGTTTGCTGCCCACGCAACGCCAGTAGATTCCTATAAACAGGTGAGACGATCGCTTGTGGAAGTTATGCGGACAGATAACACTACCAGTGCGAGTCATAACATTTATGCGTTTCGGTTCACCAGTAACGACGGCACGATACATGAGGGATCGGAAGATGACGGCGAGCACGGAGCCGGGAGAATGCTACTAAAGACACTGGCTGATAATGACATAAATAACGCACTAGTGGTCGTTTCGCGGTGGTGTGGTAGTAAAATCGGTCCTAGACGCTTCACGCACATCACAGAGGTTGGGATGAGTGCGGCGAGAAATATGCCGGTTCCCGTCTGACGCTTCAAAAATGTAAATTATGAAAAGTCACTAGTTATAAATACAAACTTACAGTAAATAACTTTTTCAATTAGTTACTATTTGTGAACCTTCATCGAATTTGACTATTACGGTAATTCTGCATAAACTAAAATATTTATTCTAGTGGTTTAGTGGTTTTCGATATGATTATATTCATGTTGCAAATGATATCTGGATAAATTATAAATTATGTTTAATTTTTGATACATTCCGGAATTTGCAAGTGTATACGTCACTATTTTTGTGTTTTTTCAAAGACTCAATTTCCGGTATAGATATCGTACAGCATGGATCGTGTAAACACTAAACTTGTAAGTTTTTTGATCAATTTTTTATTCTATCACTCAACTCAGAGAGGAGTCTGTGTGCATAATTTCAATTTTAATACAGTGCAAAGTGCGACATTTTGACATGGATAAATTTTTGTTGTAATTACATTCCAGATATATTTCTTTAATAGAAAAAAAAAACATGGTAACTACAACAAATTGTAATAAGTAAAAAGGAACTGAATAGGAAAGAAATTGAGCATATAGAGTTCCTCTCAACTGAAATTAATTTCCTACATTTTTAACATTTGCATCTCAAATATAAACTTAAAGTTAGGTTTTTTGGGTCTAGTTTTGCAAATTTTCAAAATGACAGCAGGTGTGTCTGAGCTTAAAAACTACTTTTCTGTAGTGTATATAGATTTTTACTTTTTTTGTCAACTCTTTTTTTCTTGCTGTTGGGGAACAGTTAACTTTTTAATGCATTTGCTGGGGAATTGATGACTATCCATGTGAAAATTTCCTAAAAATACTTACATTAAATTGTCAAGGTTTAGGGGACATGAATAAAAGGAGGGATGTCTTTAAAATTTTAAAAGAAAAAAAATTAAATGTTTATTTCCTTCAAGACACACACTTTGTCACAAAAGATGAAAGCATGATAAAGGCATTATGGGGATATAAGGCTTTCTTTAGTTCATACAAATCAAACTCACGGGGAGTTGCTACACTTATCAATAATAACTGTGACTTGACATTGATTAATGAATATAAAGATGAC